AGTAGTTTTGTCCTCGTGTTAGAGTTACCATTTTGGGTAACTATTTTGTCTGTGCTTGATAGACACTAAAGTGATATTATTTTTGGGATGACTGTATATATATAGTGTTATATTTTGTACATAGAAACTTATTTATTATTATTCTTATATATATATATATATGGATTGCTAATATACTCCCACCTATTTTTTTAGTCGGAGCATATTAGCAACCTATACCAAAATTTTAGGAAAAGAAAATCACTCATTTCTTTTGATTTAATTAATTTGTATAAAAGATATTATAGTAATTTAATTTAATTTTAAAAGAAAACAAAATATTTTCTCTCTTTTATTAACTTTATTCTCTAATTCATTTCTCTTTTTTTTATTAAATTTCTTCTCCAACTCATTTCTCTCTCCCAAGAAATTCCTTCTCCAACTTATTTATCTCTCCTATTAATTCCTTCTCTAACTCATTTCTCTATCATCTCTTATGATATCCCTCTCTCTCTCTCTCTCTTTGAACAAATAAAAATTAATTAATAGAAAAAGAGAAATGAGTTAAAGAATGAAATTAATAAAAGAGAGAAAATATTTTATTTTCTTTTAGAATCAAATTAAATTACTATAATATTCTTTATACAAATTAATCAAATCAAAAGAAATAAGTGATTTTCTTGTCCTAAAATTTTGGTGTAGGTTGCTAACTGATAAGTATCTAATTAGTTTAATGAAATTTAAATTTGAGACACTTATCTAACACACTTTTTGTATATATATTGATATAATTTTGGCAAATACATTAAGAATCAAAGAGGGGCTCTTAATTTACATTATTACATGGAGTGATGAGTTTTTGATCAGATTTTTCTCTTATTTTGTAGTTTTTGAAATCTGGAGGCAAACGACTGAGCGCCTTGAAACAGCTGAGCGCTTTCAAGCCAGAGAGCTCAACAAATGCAGCAAAGGAGAGGCGCTCAGCCACTCTAAGGCGCTGAGCTGATTTGGCCCTGGAAGAAGGAGTGCTCTCTGCCGCCTAGGTGCTCAGCGGATATGAAGTGCTCAGCCCCTTGTCCTTGCTTAACAGTGAAGAATCTCCAAGGCGCGCAACGGATTTGAACGGCTCAACCCTTCAGATTACTTCATGGTGAAGAATTCTTCAAACCGCTCAGCCGTTTCAAGGCGCTGAGCGGATTCTTCTCTTTCTTGACTACTCTATTTTAATTCTAGCACGTATAAAAGGGCAGGGGAGAGAGAAAAAGAAAAACACAATCTGTACGAAGAGAAGAACAGAGAGGAACAAGGAAACAGAGCACTTTGGAGCTCGTGGGGACGCGATTCTTCAGAGGATCTCTTTCTTCTACCTTTCATCTTGTTGTTTTGTGATTTCTTGTACCATGGAGAGCTAAAGCTCTAGGTTTGGGATTACTGTAGTCATCAAACTCCGGTGTATTCCTCTTTGATTCATATATATATATATATATATCTCAGCTATTACTCCATGTCAGTGATTTGTATTCGGTTCTTAATGCTTTGATAAACTGATCATTTATCTTTGATCTTGGATTTAGAATTTGGTTGGAAAACGTTTTCTAAATCTAGACTTGAAACAAATCACCTATTAGCTTTGAGAGCCAGGGATGGTCTTGAAATTAATAGTTGCAACAAGTTCTGATTCTTAATGCGGGATATTTAACTGAATGAAGTGAGGAATCATTCATTGAGTTAAATATCTTAGAACTTCTTATGCCAAGGGATTGAGTCTGAATGAATTTAGAGAACTCAATGGCAGTGGGTAATGGAATCTTTTGAAAGAATCAATAGGAATGCATAGGAGGGAGATTGATGAATTTAATCCCAAACTGTTTCTCGTATCTGTTTTCCTTTAAATTAAATTATCCTTTGGTTACTTAAATTTGATCAATCATCCATATCAAATTTGAACATGGGTAATTACTTAAGTTTTAAATTCACAAGCATCAATTAGTATAATAGAAATCATAGCTTACTTCACAAGTCCCTGAGGTTCGACAATCTTTTAATTATACTACAGAGATTTGGGTGCGCTTGCCTATAACACCAACAAATAACACCAACAAGTTTCTTGGCGCCGTTGCCGGGGACTTGTGTCAAGATAGTTTGTGATTTCTATTGTTCTAGTTGTAGCTTGTTGTATATATTGTTGGTCTTCATTTTGTTAAATATATTCTTTACCTGTTGTTCTAACTTTTCTGTTTAAGTCAGTCTTTGTATGCGAGGTAAAATCCCTGCTGAGCAATTGCTATTTGATCTAGAGATTGAAAAAATAGTTAGGAAAAAAAATAGCAAAAGAAGGCGACAAAGGAAGCTTGAACAGGAGAGACAAGAACAGGAGGGTACTTCCACCTCAATTTCAACTCAACACTCTATTCCTGAATCAATGGCTGAAGAAGGACCGGGTGGTGGTGATAGACCCCATCATCCTCCAAGAAGACTCCTAGGAGAATACAATCATCAGTTGGGTCCTAGGCACTTCTCCAGTATAGCCAGACCAACCAAGGGGGTGGAGATGAAACCTGCATTATTATCTCTCATAACTGCCAACCAATTTGGAAGGATGGACCATGAAGATCCCTACATACACTTATCTACTTTCTATGAGCTTATTGGCACTATGGGCGTTCTTGGAGAAGATGAAAAAGCGGTATATTTGCGATTATTCTTTTCTCTTTGACAGGTAAGGCTAAGACATGGCTGCAGGCCCACCCAAATCAGAGCCTGACCAGATGGGAGGATGTAGAGCAAAAGTTCTTGGCAAGATTCTTTCCTCCTTCCAGATATATAAGTGCTAAATCAACAATTACAACATTCTCTCAAGGTGCTGATGAACCTTTGTGTGAAGCTTGGGAGAGATATAAATCTTTGTTGAGGAAATGCCCAAATCATGGGTTTGATGATGTTGCACAGCTCAATATGTTCTGTAATGGGTTAAGGCCGCAAACAAAGATGTTATTGGATGCTTCTACAGGTGGTTCTATGATGATGAAGGATTCTGAGGAAGTAATCACTATTATTGATGCTTTGGCAGCCAGTGATTACCAAGCTCTCCATGATAGGAGCCAGCCCACAAAAAGGGGAATTCTGGAACTGGATACTCAAAATGCAATTCTAGCTCAAAATAAACTCCTTTCTCAGCAGATGGAAGAGTTAAAGAAACAGATGTCCAAGCTTCAAGTAGGATCATCTTCACGCGCTCAGCAGGTAATGAGATGTGATTTTTGTGCAGGTGATCATCCAAATGGACATTGCACCATCTCTGAACTAGACCAGGAAGAGGAAGTGAATTACATGAATAATCCAGGAAGGCAAGGGAATTTCTCTAGCAATTATAACTAGAATCAAGGCTAGAGGAATAATCAAAACCAGTATTCTGAGTGGAAGCAAGAAGCAGGGCCATCACAAAGGCAACCTCCACAGAAGCCATATCAAAATCAATCTTCTTATCAACCAGATAGGCTATCAAAAATGGAGGAAGCTCTTACACAGTTTATCCAGGTTTCCACAACCAATCAGAAAAATACTGAAGCCTCTATCAGAAATCTAGAAGTACAAATAGGGCAGTTGGCTAAGCAGTTGGCAGAGCAGCAAAGCAATAATTTTTCAGCCAATACACGGGTCAATCCTAAAGAGTATTGTTAGTCAATCACAACCAGGAGAGGTACTGTGATAGGAAAGGGGATTGGTGACAATTTGAGGGAAAATAAAAATGGAGTGAATGAAGATAAGAGTGAAGTTGAGCTTGAAAGTGCGAAAGAGGTGGAATTGATAAAGAGGAAGAAAAAAATGAGAAAAATAAAAAAGAGAGTGAGAAAAATGAGAATAGAGATGGAAATGTGAGGGAGAAGGGTAAGAAGAAAGGGAAAGAAGTTGTTAGGCCTCCTCCTGTGAAGAATTTACCTTATTCACATGCTCCATCAAAGAAAAACAAGGAACGACAGTTTGCAAGGTTCCTTGATATAATCAAGAGGTTGCAAATCAACATACCCTTTGTAGAGGCTTTAGAACAGATGTCATCTTATGCAAGATTCATGAAGGTGCTTCTGACAAAGAAGAGAAAACTGAGTGAGGATGAAACAGTGGAGTTAGAGGCAGGTTGCAGTGCTATAATTCAGAAGTCATTTCCACAAAAATCTAGAGACCCAGGGAGTTTCACTTTTCCAGTCACCATTGGAAATCTCTCTGTGGGGAAGGAATTATTGGATTTAGGGGCTAGTATCAATCTTATGCCCTTATCTATGTTACAGAGGATAAGTGATGTGGAGGTGAAACCTACTAGGATGACTCTGCAGCTGGCTGAAAGATCTATTAAGTACCCTCATGGTATTGTTGAAGATCTCTTGGTTAAGGTTGATAAATTTTTCTTTCCAGTTGATTTTGTTGTCATGGACATGGAAGAGGATTCTGAGGTTCCTCTCATTCTGGGTCGTCCATTCATGAAGACAGCTAAGGTCATTATAGATGTTGATGATGGCAAACTCAAGGTCAGGGTGCATGGTGATGAGGTGAATTTTAATATTTTGAAGCTATGAAACACCCAAATGATAAGAAAGATTGTTTTAGAGTGGATGTGATTGATGAAGTGTGTTTGGAAGCTCGAATAAAATTTTCATTAACCACACCATTAGAGAAGGCATTAAATTTTGATATTAAAGCTGTAGGTGAAAAGAGGAAGGTGCAACTTCATGAACTTGAAGAAATGCGTTTGCAGGCTTATGAATCCTCAAAAATTTACAAGAATAAAGGGAAGTCCTACCATGACAGGAAAATTGTGTGGAGAAACTTCCAACTAGACCAACAAGTGTTTTTGTTCAATTCCAGGCTGAGATTATTCCCTGGAAAGCTCAAGTCCAAATGGTCAGGTCCCTTTGTGATTAAAGCAGTCAAGCCATATGGGGCAGTGGAGTTGGAAGAACCAAATTATGGGAGATCTTGGATGGTGAATGGTTAGAGAGTTCAGCCATACTTGGGTGGTGAGGTTGAGAAACTTACCACTGTCATTCATCTCAATGATCCATGACTGAGTGAAGTGTCAAGCTATTGACAATAAAGAAGCGCTTACTGGGAGACAACCCAGCCATTTTGGTTTGAATTCTCACTTTCATTTTAGTTTACTCCTTTACATATGTAGTTATGCTTTTGAAGAGTCGAGTTTGTGATTTGATGTTTTGATGGTGCATTCTATCAAATGTTTTGTTCCTTCAACATTCTCCTCTCTTGTGTTGTGCTTTTTTATAGTTTATTGAAGGTAACTGGAAGTGGGAGTGTGAAAGGAGAACAAAATGTGCTTCTTCCAGGTAAGTTTACAAAACTGACAAAACGGCTCAGCCATTAAAAACGGCTCAGCCGTTTGGCTGCAGTATCTCATTTTTAGCTAAATTTTCCTCCCAGGGGGAAAATAGCTCAGCCCTTGAAAATGGCTTAGCCGTTCATATCAGCAAAACATTTTGGTTGAGATTTCTGCACCAAACGGCTGAGCGTTTTCAAAGCGCTCAGGGCTTTTCTTTATATTGCTCGCGGTACCCAAACGGCTGAGCACCTAGAAAGGGCTCAGTGCCTCAAAAAAAATTGAGAAAGACCAATCCAAGAAGAGAAAAGAAGTTGTCCATTTATTTGTCCTTCGTTCCCAACACTTTCAAACCTGGTCTTCTCATTTTCTCTCGCTTTCTTCTCTTCCACACACACCATCATTCTCTTTGATTCAAGGTAAGTTTCAAGCTCTCTCTTTTGATTTCTGTTGTGCCTTCATGCAAATATTTTATTAGTATTTGATGTGTTTTGTGTCCTCTTGTGGTGATGACAAAATTCTTTTTGGGAATCAAATTGATAATCTTTCTGGAATGAGCACATTCATGGTTCAAGTTTTCAATGAGCATTGTTTGCTAATCTGGAAATCTACATTGTTGCACAAGTGGTTGTACATTTTTGACTTAAAATGTGTGCTTCAAGCATGTTCAAGTGAAATTGAAATGAGTCTTAAGTTGTTGACATCCAGGGCACTTAACCAAACCGTGTGAGTGAGTGGGCCAAACAGTTAAAATTCAATCATTGAGAGTCATCACTGATTCATGCGGTCAGTTTTGTTTGAGTCTTCCATGAGTCACAGTTAAGCTATGCATGGAATTTACTAAGGCAATTGTTTATTATGTTTAGCCAGTAGCCAAAAAGCCAACCCATGAACTACATCAACCCTTGATCAAATAGTTTTGAGCCTAAACAGAACCCTTAAGCTTACAAAGAAAAACCATGATTGTCCTTAGCCTTGTCGGTAAGAGACATTCTCATGAAACAAGTGGGTTTGAGCCAAGTTGGGGGTAAATGTATGGAGTGTTCATGTGGTTGGAATTGTATAGGCAAAGTGTAATCTTTGTGTATATATTACTCAAAAAAAAAAAACACAACACAACACAAAGGGGAAGAAGTTAAAATCAAGGTCCCCTGTTACCATTTCATCAATTTGTGTATATTCTGAAAGAGAAGGAACTAGTAAATTCAATCAAAAGAGGGATGAGACATAAAGAGTCAAGAGAATTCAAGCTGGTGCAAGAATTTGGTATCAACCCATATGAGTGAGAATGTCTCTTGTCAAACAGGCCTTTAGATTCCCAAAGAAAAACCAAATCTCTGATAGCCAGGCCACATTACAACCCTCTTAAGTCCTTAGTGATCCATGCTTAGTTTTAACAACAGACTTATGGGAGACGGGTAACAAATCAGACTTAGCATGTTTTGGTGCTTGAAAAGAGAGAAACACTCACCCTTCACAGCATACTAAAGAGAGATACACATTGGTGAGGAAATTTTAGTGCTCTTGACTGGAAGCAATGGAAGATGAGTGAATATTTACCTTGAGTATGCTTGAGGTTCATAATTTTTGTTATCATGTGGGCACCATTTGTAGTAACATGTACTCATTGGATTTTGCAAACAAGTTTTCATTGGACTCCTTGAAATCATGTAAGTGCATTAACATATATTTTTTGGGTGAAACTTGTAGTGTTTCACTGGGTATATAAGTTAGTTATATTATTCTCTCAATTAAGATCTTTTGTTTGAGGACAAACAAATTTCTAAGTTGGGGGTAGCTTGATAAGTGTCTAATTAGTTTGATGAAATTTAAATTTGAGACACTTATCTAGCACACTTTTTGTATATATATTGATATAATTTTGGCAAATACATTAAGAATCAAAGAGGGGCTCTTAATTTACATTATTACATGGAGTGATGAGTTTTTGATCAGATTTTCCTCTTATTTTGTAGTTTTTGAAATCTGGAGACAAACGGCTGAGCGCTTTCAAGCTAGAGAGCTCAACAAATGCAGCAAAGGAGAGGCGCTCAACCACTCTAAAGCGTTGAGCGGATTTGGCCCTAGAAGAAGGAGTGCTCTCTGCCTCCTAGGTGCTCAGCGGATATGAAGTGCCCAGCCCCTTGTCCTTGCTTAATTAACCGTGAAGAATCTCCAAGGCGCTCAGCGGATTTGAACGGCTCAGCCCTTCAGATTACTTCATGGTGAAGAATTCTTCAAATCGCTCAGCCGTTTCAAGGCGCTGAGCAGATTCTTCTCTTTCCTAACTACTATGTTTTAATTCTAGCACGTATAAAAGGGCAGGGGAGAGAGAAAAAGAAAAACACAATCTGTACGAAGAGAATAACAGAGAGGAACGAGGAAACAGAGCACTTTGGAGCTCGTGGGGACGCGATTCTTCAGAGGATCTCTTTCTTCTACCTTTCATCTTGTTGTTTTGTGATTTCTTGTACCATGGAGAGCTAAAGCTCTAGGTTTGGGATTAATGTAGTCATCAAACTCTGGTGTATTCCTCTTTGATTCATATATATATATATATATATCTCATCTATTACTCAATGTCAGTGATTTGTATTCTGTTCTTAATGCTTTGATAAACTGATCATTTATCTTTGATCTTGGATTTAGAATTTGGTTGGAAAACGTTTTCTGAATCTAGACTTGAAACAAATCACCTATTAGTTTTGAGAGCCAGGGATGGTCTTGAAATTAATAGTTGCAACAAGTTCTGATTCTTAATGCGGGATATTTAACTGAATGAAGTGAGGAGTCATTCATTGAGTTAAATATCTTAGAACTTCTTATGCCAAGGGATTGGGTCTGAATGAATTTAGAGAACTCAATGGCAATGGGTAATGGAATCTTTTGAAAGAATCAATAGGAATGCATAGGAGGGAGATTGATGAATTTAATCCCAAATTGTTTCTCGTATCTGTTTTCCTTTAAATTAAATTATCCTTTGGTTACTTAGATTTGATCAATCATCCATATCAAATTTGAACATGTGTAATTACTCAAGTTTTAAATTCACAAGCATCAATTAGTATAATAGAAATCATAGCTTACTTCACAAGTTCCTGAGGTTCGACAACTTTTTAATTATACTACAGAGACTTGGGTGCGCTTACCTATAACACCAACACTAATATACTAGCAATCCCCACATATATATATATATATATATATATATATATATATATGACAAGCGTCAAACATTATACTATGTTTTTAGAACAGAGTCCATTGTTCAATATATAACAGGAATTCAAACTTAATATTAATAATGTTTTTCAAATCTTATAATCAAAATCCCTCTAACGATAAAATTTTAATGTTTGTCATCATAAAATTAATAAAATGAGAAGTTGTTCGGATCAAAGACAATCGTTTATATCCTCACTTAGTCTTTGGAAGATATCAAGACATTAAAAATTTATGATAAAAGTGCGAAAGATAAAAATGAATCAAGTCTTTTGAACTTAATTGTTCGATAAGTTTTTACAATATCATTCGGATGGACTTAATCCAATCTAAGCGTCTAATGTATCCCTATATATTTATTCTCTTTATATGTTTTTATAATTTGTCCAAGATTTGGCTATGTTTGTCTAATAATAGTTGTATCATGTGGACAATTGTGTTGTCACAAACTATTATAATCGTAGTTCTCTAACATACATGAAATTTTGTTTAATTTAGAAATCTTGTGTTATTATTTTGTCCTTTACAGGAATATAAATTTCAAATTACTATAGCACCAAAATCACAACCATACAAAAATAACATTTGGTGTTCTAACCAAAAGTAACTAAGATGCAATGTTGACTTGCTGTGAAGTTTTAGTAGTATTTCTTTTTCCCATGACACTAATTAAAAGACAAATGACATTTTGTACTATTGTGCAAGGCATGCTTAAACATGTTTGTTACAATACAATAGTTTTGTCTCTTTCAACATCACTATCTACTGGTTATAAATGAAAGACCCCTGAAGATGTAGAGGTGATGATTGTCCAACACTTTGTAAAATGAATTCATCATAAAAGTCCTAAGCAAAGAAAAAATGTCTTTGAAAAACTCAAGTTATTAAGTAGATGATCTTTATATCTCAATAAAACTTTGTTTTTAGTTGTGTGATGAGTGATATACTTGTTTGTTATCTCCATATCCTCACTTCTGTGACTTAAAACACTTTAAACTTTTTACCTTTGTGTTGTAAAGAGTCTGAAGAGGTTTCACATTAAAATGATAATTGATAGACATAAAAGAATACTTGGTGCAATCAGTCCAAGTTGAGATTGACAGATTGTAAGACTTGAAAAAGTTCAGAGAATATTTGATTGTGCTCAATTTAAATAATAATGAAAATCATTGTGAATTTGTGAGGGAAAAAAAATGAATGTCGCTCTAACTCAAAGAGTGAACCTGTGTATTTTTATTTTCCTTACTCTTTGTTTACATTGAACAAATTATTTCAATTTGTATTAGTGATGAAAAACTATTTCTTCTAAAAAAATTTCAAAAGATTTTAAACACAATTCAATTCCTTCCATGTTAACATGTTTATTTTTCACATATTAAATGAAAATACGAGAATACACACAAATTATCATAATACACACATATTAAAGTTTTTGTATCATAATATATTTTATATAGGTATTTTTTTTTATTTTTCATTATTCTAAAATTTGTAAACATTGTTTTTATTCTTGTAAAGTAAATAAATTTTGATTTTTGATATTTATAAAAAAAAATTTCCACTCTAAAATTGAAAGTTATTTTTTTTCCTTGATGACCATTTTAAAATTTATATATAAAACCTATTTTAAAGATTTATAAAAAAATTTAGAAGTTTAAAAATGCAGATAAAGTATCATAGACAGTTGAAATAAATCACTTAAGATGATTACATAATCTTCTAATGAACACATACGTAGTTAAAAAAAATTATCTAATAATTATCTAGTAATAAAGATTAAAATATTTTTTTAAAATTTTAGATAAATGTAAAACAAGAAAAAATTTACGAGGATTAAAATCAAAACATACTATTTTACATAAACTAAAAACATATTTATGTCTTCTCTTTATATTTATTTATCACTCTATATATAACATTGATTGTAAATTAATATTAAATTGAATATTTATCATATAATTAGTTTAAATAATATTGATAAATATAATCAATCATTAATAGTAACACACTTCTCATATGAACTTTTCAGGGACAACAAATATATTAAAACTTTATTACTATAAAAAAGTAATTATTAAAAAATTAATACGTAAAACTATATACTGAAATGTTTATTATTTATTACCATTATCTAGAATAAAATACATTTATAAACTTATTATATAATTAAAATTAATTACACATTAATATCAAATGATATATAAGTACTACAAAATTAGCCTAAAAATATCATCAAATATTATCTTCATTAATTATTAGTCGGAAAAAAACACTCTGTACCTGTATTATATTAAAAAAATAATTATTTTTATAAATAATTATAGTAGTCTCAGAATAAAATAAAATAAAAAGAAAAAATAAAAAATTACTCATAAAAAAAGTAATCTTAAAAAATTATAAAAAATAAACAAAAGATAAAATAATTTATATAAAAATAAAAATTAAAAATAATTATTGTAAATGATATTTCTTTTATATATTAGTATAAATAATACATATAGTAGATAGCAGTTATATATATATATTGGTACTGTAGTAAAACGAAAGAAAGAGAAAAAAAAAACTAAAAATATTTGTGCAAAATAAATTATATATAATTTCCCGTGGCCAGAAAAAAAAATTATGTATAAGAAATTATAAACTAAGAGAAAGATTATTCACACATGAAACGAAGAGAAGAAAAAAAAAACAAAAAAGAGATATTAATTTCAACTGCAAAAGCAAGCATGCATCGTTGATCATTACATGCATGCACGCATGCACGCGATCTGGTTTTTCTCCACAAAGCTACATGCATGAGCTTGACACCATCGCCACGTTCTGAATTCTCCATTTTCCAAATTCCGATTCCGATTCCGATTCCGATTCACCGCCAACAACAATCGCAATCTCACGACTCAATTTCCCCGAAACAAACACCACTCTTCCACCGTCGGAGTTCCAATTAGGGTTTCGTTTCCGTTCCGTCAATGGCGTCGCCGCGGCGAGAGTGAAAGACTCTCGACTCCGATGGGCAACAACTGCGTGGGACCGAACGTCGGCAACGGCTTCCTCCAATCCGTCACGGCGAACTTGTGGAAGACGCGCCCGCCGGAGTCGCACCTCCCGCCGCCAGCCTCCGCCGACGCGAAGGCACTACCTCCGTCGCAAACCACCGATTCGTCGAAAGATCCGGAGCCGAAGCCCAGCCCCAAGCCTTCGGATTCAGATCCTCCGATGTCGGTCCAGAACACGCCGCCGGAGCAGGTCAAAATCCCGCCGGACGCCGCGAAGCCGCTCCCGCTGGACCACGAGAAACCGTCTCCGCCGGTGACCAGTGAAAACAAACCGAAGAAACCGACTCACGTGAAGCGCTTGTCGAGCGTGGGGCTCCAGGTGGAGTCGGTGCTCGGTCGCAAGACCGAGAACATGAAGGAGTTTTTCAGCTTGGGGAGGAAGCTAGGTCAGGGGCAATTCGGGACCACGTTCCTGTGCGTTCAGAAGGGGACGAACAAGGACTTCGCGTGCAAATCCATCGCGAAGAGGAAATTGACGACGCAGGAGGACGTGGAGGATGTGAGGAGGGAGATTCAAATAATGCACCACCTCGCGGGGCACCCCAACGTGATTCAGATAGTGGGGGCTTTCGAGGACGCTGTGGCGGTGCATCTGGTTATGGAGCTTTGTGCTGGTGGGGAGCTCTTTGACAGGATCATTCAGAGGGGGCATTACACCGAGAGAAAGGCTGCGGAGCTTGCCAGGGTCATTGTTAGTGTTGTGCAAGCTTGTCATTCTCTTGGGGTCATGCATAGGGACTTGAAGCCAGAGAATTTTTTGTTCATCAACCATGAGGAGGAGTCGCCGCTTAAGACCATAGATTTTGGCCTCTCTGTTTTCTTTAGACCAGGTATTTTCTTTCCCCTCCTTCTGCAGGGACGAATCTACTGCTAAAGCACTAAGATTTCAAAATTTTTTAATACTATATATTTTTATTCCCCCCTACAGTATCTGATACATTGTATATTAGTGTTTTTGTTCACTTTTTCTTTTATTAAACAGTTTCTTTCACTTTTTTTTTTGTCAAATTATATTTAGGATTTTTAAATGGAAAATTCATTGATTTTGTAATAATTAGATAAGATAGTTTAGTTTATTAAAAAAAATTCTTTGAGTTTTTTTTTGTTTGAATTTATTTTAAAATTTTAATCTTGTATGTTACAATTGTTTATGCATTTGTTTTTGTTACTGTTATATATTTTAGTTGAAAGAATTGTCAAATTAATTGTTGTACAACATATATAATGAGTATAATAATTATTACATAAAAAAATAAGAAAAGATAGTTGAGAAACTACAGGGTCGTGTTTTACTTTTGTTTATTCATATCTTGGTGAAAGAGCTAACTTCTTTATGAATATATCATAAAAAATGAGATGAGAAATTGTAAGGAGATAAATAGTTAAATAGTTATTTTGTTATATATTTATAATATATAACTATGATAAAGAGAATATATTTTTTTTTCCATTTTTTATTACATTATTAACATTACAATTTTATATATTTGGCTGTGAATTGTTCTTTGGGTCTAAAATTTCTAAATCCGTCCAAAATTTTTAGATCTATCACTGTCTTTGTGTTAAGAGTCATAGCTAGGAGTTTAAGTATGGACAAAAACATAGGTGAACTAGTCGGAGATTATAAGAGATTAAAATAAGTGTTTGTTTTGATGAAAGTTGATAAAATTGATTTTGAACTAATATGATTTATGTTTGAATTTTTTTTATTGTAAAAAGCAAGTTAGAAATAAAGTAAGTGTGTGTTTGATAACCCATAGGGTGTCACTGGATGTCGATCTAAGGAAGCAGCTATTAGTTGTTTTTCTGTCAAAATTGATTTAATTTTTATTTAGATGTGAATTCTGGATACGCATCTAAACATGGCCTGTTATTTTAACTAAGAATCAATTATGGACCCAGAATAAATTTTTTAACCTGAAATCAAACATGTAATATTTACCTAAAATCACATTAACTAATTTTTGAACATGCCTATGGAGAATCCAACGTGAAACTATAACTTTCGGAGAAGTTAAATGAATTACTTCTAAAGATGTACTGCATGCTGATTTTAACTTATAGAAGACATTTGATTCATTTTGGCTTATTATTTTCTTCTGCTATAAGTATTTATTGAGAAATTTGTTTAAACTAGGCCTTATTCATAAGCTTCTAATTTTGAAGCTTACTTGAGTAAGTGGGATAAGAAACACTAGGTCGTAAGTCACTTTCATAAGTTTAAATGAGCTCTGCAGAAGCTATTACAAACACTCTTGGCAGTATTTAAGTTGATTATGATCATGAAGAGCTAGGAAGGACATCTTATGATCTATTTGTTGTTGAACTTTGAGGTCCCATGCTACCCAACTAAATGCAATTGAAACAATAGGAAACACATGGCTTTGATCTAAGAGAGTTGTCTGTGACTGAGAGTGAGATGCATGTTTTTAGTGTTATGAATGAGAAAATTTACATAGTTTACGTACCCTTTGTTTACCATTTTTGTATACTTTGATGATCTATGGTTCTCCACTTCTGTCTGCTTGCTATCGAATATGGAAACAGAGTTAATTGTATATTTGGAGTTGTGAACACGTTTTGTCTTTGTCCTCTTTATTGTCTACTATGAATAATGAGTAAAGACATGGTTCAGGCACTGTTCCTTGGGCATTTGTTTTCACAAACATTTTCCTCTTGATGTTTTAATATTTGTCAAATCAAGACAGTATTTTGATGTTATGACTCCATATTTTTTTCTACACCATTTCCATAACTGCTTTGTCTTTTATTTCCAAAACTAATATTTTTAATGAAGTAATTATTCCTGTGAACTACTTCTAATTGATTAGTAATTTTACTTCGCTAATGTAAGGGCATTATCGTGGCTACTTTTTTGTTAATAAAAGTGAAGATGATCTGTTAGTGTTTAAGTCATGTATGTAGGGCATCGTGTTTCGGTGTTACCATATATCAAAGTTATGTTCTCTTAACTTACTAGGGCTTTCCATTTCGTTTAACAATGTTAAACCCTTCTACTTTTCCTTTTTATTTGGGATTTGATTTTTTCAAATTCAGATTGAGAAAATATTCATAACTTCAGGTGAAACATTTACTGATGTGGTTGGAAGCCCTTACTATGTGGCCCCTGAAGTTTTGCGGAAGCACTATGGTCCAGAATGTGATGTTTGGAGTGCTGGGGTGATCATCTACATTTTACTCAGTGGAGTTCCCCCATTTTGGGATGGTGATAATGCTATACCACTTGATTTCATTATGTCAACTCCTTTGCTTGTGTAATACTTACTCGTAAGTGCCTGATATGTTTGGTGTATGGATCAGAAACGGAACAGGGAATATTTGAGCAAGTTTTGAAAGGAGAGCTTGACTTTATGTCTGAACCTTGGCCTAGCATATCTGAAAGTGCAAAGGATCTTGTTCGAAGGATGCTTGTAAGGGACCCTAAGAAGCGGATGACAGCACATGAAGTTCTTTGTGAGTATGCATGTCTCATTGATGCACCTTAGCGTTAATTGAAATGCATCGTGGAATAGTTCTCACACCTTTTTTGTCATTAGAGATCAGTTCAAATAATTTAGTAGATAGTCTAGTTATTCAGGATTTTCTTTCTTAACAATTTATATTCATGATGACAAATTTTCTTGTCAGTTGCTACTATAAACTAACAGCTACATTTATGATGATAAACTGAGAATCCTTTCCTACAATAAAACACAAATCCTGACCTGTCTGTTTTTATCATCCGTCGTATTGTGGGGGTGATAGGGAAAAAATAAAGCATAGTTCTCTGTAAATTTGAAAACTTGAATTTATAGCTAAAGAGAATGATAGATTACTAGTCATTACCCCTACTGGATAGACATTACCAATAAAAAATAAACCATACATAGTATTCAGAAACTAAAGTAAATTTAGATCTTTTCCCTCTCAGCGGACAATTTGACTTTGATATTTCAGATGAAATGGTACCATATTTCATATTTGGTGGTTTTCTTTTGGAAACTGCATTGCTTATATACCACCATTTCATTTTTCACATAATAGACGTGGAAACTCTGCATTATCCATAAGAATAAATATAATTTTCATATTGGAAATGTATAAAGGTTATTATGGTTAAATTACTACATCTCTTCCCCTTTGCTTCTTTGTTATTGTTATTTATTATTATTTTGTCGTACAGGTTGGTAAGTTGTTATTCATTAGTCAATCATCACTTGAGCCTTGGAATTTTCTCTTCTTAAAAGGGTTCAAGCGTGTTTCCGTGTAATGGGTTCAAGTATGTTTCCAAGTAATGTACTTAAAATAAGTGCCCCTTCCTCTTTAAATCATGTTTCTTAACAAGACAAAATGTATCAATCAAGAAAACTTAATTTTATGTTGAAGAGAATAATACAAGATTCTCAAAAGTGGAATAAAGAGAAGCATCATTATTTTTTTTGGTAACAGAAGAATGAAGAATCATTATTATTTATTCGTCTTTGTTATTTACTTTTTGGACTGCATATTTTTGACATTTATCTGATTATTTTCAATAATAACCATAATTTATGTTCTGTTTCAAAATTGAAACTTATTATTTTTCTTCACTTTTGAATATACAAATACATTAAGCTAAGTTCCATGATGTGCAGGCCACCCATGGGTTCAGGTTGGAGGTGTCGCTCCTGATAAACCTCTTGATTCTGCTGTCTTGACTCGTTTGAAGCAATTCTCTGCAATGAACAAGCTCAAAAAAATAGCTATTCGAGTGAGTATCCACTAATTATTTGAGATTAGAAGTACATTATATGTTGCAGTCTTTAGTGTCTCATATACGGAAAGTCAAAAACCTTGTGCTCGAGAACTATCTTATTTTATTGGTGAAACTTAATTTTCCATATATGGTTGTCGAGACATTCACTATAAATTTAGAAAACTGGTCTAGTTGATTGAAGCCTCGGTCATTTGAAGAATAAATTGGAAAAAATGCTGCTATTGTTGAAAATATTGAAAAAATTTCTAGCGAAACATAAAGCAGTGGTATGACTTGTTGCATCCGTTGGCAGGTAATTGCTGAAAGTCTGTCCGAGGAAGAAATTGCAGGACTGAAAGAAATGTTCATGATGATAGACTCAGATAATAGTGGACAGATCACTCTTGAGGAACTGAAAAATGGTTTGGAGAGAGTGGGTTCCGTTCTTAAGGATTCTGAAATTACTTGGTTGATGGAAGCGGTAATGCTTGCCTACTATTCTATGTACAATTGTTTGTTGTGCTAAAGGATTTGACTTATTATTTGATTCATTGGCATACAACTGGAAAGGCGATACATAGTAGTTTATGAGAAGGCATTTTACTTGAAAATTAATGACTGCTTGTAACTCATTCTAGAAAAACAAGAATGCACTATTATATTCAACCGAACAATTGATTTTTTTGTATGTAGTTCATTAGATCAATCCCTTTTGCTTTCTTGTTTACTATTCAGGCAGACGTTGATAACAGTGGTACCATAGACTATGGTGAATTCATAGCAGCTATGCTTCATCTAAACAAGATCCAGAAGGAGGATCATCTATATGCAGCATTCACATACTTTGACAAAGATGGAAGTGGATACATTACACGAGATGAGCTCCAACACGCCTGTGAACAGTTCGGCTTGAAGGATTACCAACTAGATGAAATAATGCGTGAAATTGACCAGGATAATGTAATATATAGCATTCCATTGGTTCACTTTTTATGTTTTCTTTATTTGACTTGTATTCTGCACTGTTTTCAGGATGGACGTATTGATTATAGTGAGTTTGCTGCAATGATGCAAGACACTAATTTTGGCAAAAAGGGGTTTCAACCACAATGAGTAAAATTATATACAGATGCTGCAAGCATATTAGCAAACTCTTGATCTTGCCAAATGGGGACTTGATAGATAGTCTCACTCACAGCTAGCATATTCTCTTCCACAGGCCAGGTTATGTAAGTACAAGCACTTAGAAATTGTATGATCGAGCTTCAGGGAGAGGAAGCTTAAATATTGGCCTGCTAATTGTAGTGTTTATGTATTTACAAATCATTCTTTTGTTGAATATATAACCTAGTGCAGTAGATCACAGTTTTTTCTGTTGAATCTGTAACCCTTTTTAGGGGGTAAATGGATGGTAGAACGATTTTTCAGCATGTGATCTAAGGGCGTCATTGAGTACTCATTCACACTACATCAAATTGTGAACAAATTTCCAAAAGCAGTGTTGAAGGGCATGAATTTATGCGATATGAATGCTCATCCAGCTTTGTGAGTCTTGTGAATGCCATGCCATCTTTCAGTCAGTCTCAAATCACGTTCTCATGCTGAATATCATGTTGTATCAACTCATGTACCCTGTTTGCATTCATGTATAGAGTTAGAGCCAAGTTTTTTGTACCTGTTGGTTTTATGATGTTCCACTTTAAATGTATACACAATCAACATTTTCTTTTTTGAAACTTTCTAGTTTTTTTGCCAATGACACGAGTCGATGAATTTGATCATGAGATGTAATATTGTTGTGAACCTCTTTGGGAGCACAAGAAAAGTTGTACCAAACCCTACCATCCTTTTGTTTTTTTACATTTGGTTTAGCTATTAACTTCCTTAAGTCCTCAACTAGCAGGATATCATCAAATTAACTAGAATTGGCTGAAATAGACTTTGTTGGATACGCCTTTCTTATTCCCTCCTTAAATAATTCAATTGCCAACACATAACATCAAAGAAATGAAAAAAAAATATATTTTCATGAGCCAAGTAGGTTTATTTATTTATTTATTGGTTAATTGTACTTTTTACTACCAATGTTTCTTGATTTGATCAATTTTGTTATTCAACTTTTGAAGTTATATATTTTGTTATTCAATTTTTTTAAAATTTTACACATTTTATCATTATATTAGTTGACTATCGATTATTGATGTGATATTTTAAATATTAATGTTGATTATTGATGTGACATATAAACAATGACAAGACATAATATGTCATGTTGATAATCTATATATTATATCAATAATCAATATGTCATGTTAATAATTAATTAACAATATTAAATGACCAATTAATAAGGTGACAAATATGTTAAATTTTGAATATCAAATAAAAAAATCTGTAATTTTGAAAGTTAGATGACAAAAATCATAAAATTGTTAAACATGAATGGCAAAATGTGCAATAAATAAACACATTTTTATTTTGGTCCTTCTAAACTTTTTTATATAATTTCCCTTAAAGATATGAAAAAATTACTTTTAACGTTGTTGTTATGTGATTCTTATTATTTGTTTGTATGTTTTTAACGAAATATTATCATCCCAAGTGATACTCACGTCCATAATATCATAGTGACATGTAATATTTCTAAAAAGAATGTTTCGATCCTTAAAAAAATGTTATTTATACACTTTTAAATGAATTTTAGAAATAAAAGAAATAGTGATTTTAGGACTTGAAAGCAATGTTTTAAAAATCGGATCGGACCGGCCAGTTAGGCCGGTTGAACCGGAAATCGGTGGTCCAACCGATTCGAATCTTAAGTTGGATCGATTATGCATTCAACCCATTTCAAATCGAATTGAATCGGTCAATTTAATTTTTTTTAAGGGACCACAAACAACAAAAATAACAATAAGAATTGAATCTATTAATGAAAGAGAAAAAAGTCTTATTAAACATAAGAATGACTACTTGTTCTAATGTATATATTTGCAATTTAAATAACTTTTATAGTGTATTATTAATTTTAGATTATATATTTAATAATATAATATCTCGTCACTTACTCCAATCCGACCGCGGCCGGAGATATTTGTTGCCCTCCTTATTGCTACTCGATGCTTCTCGGTTCTCCGCTGCCCTTTTAATAATCTGGTTCTCCTCCGTCTTGATATGACTCAATGCGAAAGCCCAGACTTCCGACATCGTCTGACAATTTGCTTTTTCAAGCGCGATATCGAAAGCCCCGGACCTTAAACCCTTCTCAAACAAATATAAAACATTTGTAAGTCCAAGTACATCAAAGTCTAAATACCTTAAAACATCAAAGTCTTAA